CCAACACCTAATATATATATATATATATATATATATGAAAAAAAAAACAGTTTTCTAAAGTATCTAAAAATTAGCTAGATATAAATCTGAAAATAATTTTTTGTTGGACCATTAAAATAATTATGATGCTTAAGTATCATGAACAATGTTGCAAAAACTTTTGACATTCTAAAAATCACCTTGAGCATCTTATATAATTATTTTGATTATCCAACAAAAAATTATTTTCAGATCTATATCTAGTTTAATTTTCAGATCTACTTCAAAATTGTTCTTTCCATGTAAGTAATTAATTGTAACGATATATCTATGGAATAAAATATTTAAAAAGTACTAATCAATATATTTCGACGTTATTTTTACCGAGAATGTGAGACGGAAGAGGCGTGTGTGCGCCAATTTTTTCAGGACCGTAGAGATCTCTCAGCCTTCTGCGAATATAAGCATGTAATTCTTCATAAAGAGGACGTATCGTTTCCCAAGCTTCATCAATGTCTTGTTGGAAATTAGGAGATTCGTAAGGGAACATCCAATATTCGGCGGCATCAGTAAAGTCTACAAAAAGAAAAATAAAAGTGTAACATTAATCCTCAACATCTAAAGTAACTTTTAATATAATTTAATTAACGCGTATTTTCATATCATATTTCATACATATCTATTAATTAATCCGAATGAAATAATCTTGTCACTCGCTATAAATTAAAAATATGAAATATTTCTGATAAAAACTAGGTTCAATACTAGAATTTTTTGCAATCTTGCATGAAACGGAATTATACGCTGACTGACTTCATTAGCATTGAAGATTCCATTTGATATGTCATACTTCCGGCAGAGAATTAAAATTAGACATACTATTCATTCTTGCAGCATCATTGGTCAGCGCAATAAGTTGATGATATAGATCCCTAATCGGTCTGCCACTTCGTCTTCTCCATTCGGTCCAGACGTACTGCAATTCGTCCCAGTCCCGACTTTTCGCCATGATTTGCGATATATCTGTAATAAAAATAATGCGCTGAGGAAGTATATAACTTTTAGATGCGTCATGTATCGTTATGTATCCGCACAAGATATTTATCAAATATCTCGTGAGTGATTTTTGTGCTAATCATGTAAATTTTTTAAGACAAATTTTAGGAAAATTATCAATGACATAACGGCTCTTTTTCTCTCATTTTTGAGAATATAAACAAAATTTATTGAACAAAAATTTATAAAAAAAAAATGATCGTAATGTAATTCGTGATGTAAATACTAAACTTAAAGAGCCGGTAAGCTTTTTGTTCAAAATTATTGGCATAAACCATAAATTTCTTCATTGATTGACGCGTAAATTGAATTCCTTCATTTTCAGAGCTCGCAGCCAATTATCATTTCGTGGCACACACGCTAAACACAAACGAGTAATTATGTAGTAGTTATTAAACTATACTATAACTGCGTAGTGTCTTCGCTCAATTAATTAATTATTTGCTTTCTATTTGTGCATGTTCTGTGATGCCTTGGATTGTATTCGCTTTGCGTTCTAAATGGGCGTGTACAGGGATTTACATTAAAACACATAAAAATAACAGACAATTAGAAGCGTATACAGCGCGGCGCAGAGGTTCTCATAAATTAAACGGAAAAGAAGAGGGACCTTCCTTTCCATTCGGGGGAGGCATACGCGCGCTCGCGTGACGTATCCTATTTTCTTCACACTTTCATGCACATTTTGGACTTACGTAAATCCATGGAATTTCGCCGCGACGAACCGTGAACGATGCCGACGCGACGGCATCGTACCGATCTGATCGTTATTCAGCGTAATTCGTGATGTATTACCTGGATATAAACGCAGTCCACACCGGAACGGATCGTTGTAAGCGCATATGGTCGCTGCGTTATAAATCGCAAGCATGTCGTTGATTAAGCGATTATACTGTAAAAAGAATAATGTCATTATTGCTAAAACTGTCATAATTTTATCACTACTATATTTACTGTCACGCATATTATCTGTTAAACAATAATTATATAAGGTTTAATTGCTTGTATAAACAAAGCATTTACCCTGTCCAGTTGATCAGGTGGTAGTGCCGAAGGACCCACCACGGACAAATAACGGAGTCGTCGCCTGATGATGGGGTCCCGAATAGAATTTATGTCGATTCTCGAGATTAAAAGCCATGCTTGGTATTGGAAATCCGCGTATAAGCGTTGGGCATCCAGCTGAAAGCGTAAAGCAAAATATTGAAGACAATTCTCATGTGAAACGAAACAAATGTTTTTTTATTGCGCTGACGGAGAGATAGATAAATGGTCCTAATTATTTTCAAATAACAAAAATTACGTATTATCTTGTATTGAATTTTAATTATATTAATTATATTGTGGAATTGCTTTAATTAATGTAACATGTGCAATTGTATTAATCAACGTAACATGTTAACTACATGACGTAAGAGAGCTAATCTCTTGGCGACTGATTAGGAAACGCAGTTGCAGTCAAACACGAATAGGCGAACGACGATGGTTTTACCGTTAGAGATAAAAACCGTCGTATCTATGCTTTTCCTGACAGTAACCTGCATTCAAAGAAAAGTGGCTAAGAAAGTGAAATTGTATTTGAGAACTTGTATATTTAAATGTAATCTTTATTTATTAAAGTTTAATTATGCAATTATCGCATAACGTGTTATGTTTATGTATATAATTTAAAATTTGAAATAATATTTATGTACATTGAAATTTATAACAACTCATACAGCGCAGATCTCCAAGAGATGTTCTAAAGATGTCCAGAGGACGTCTACGTCTCTAGGACGATCCCTGGACGCCCCTCAGATAAACTGTGCTGTGTAGAATATATTTACGTATCATACATTTATCATTATATAAAAAACCGCATGACATATCCGGATAATACGCAAATGTAAATTCCAGTTGTGTGGTATATTTCCACGTACAATGATAACATTAAGAATTAAATCGGGGCATGTAATATATATATGCAACATAATTTTTGTCTGATTACTATGAGATTATTATTACAGTTCATGTGTTCGCTGCCAAAGAATTAAAAAAAAATATATATATATGTGTGTGTGTGCACATAATTAACTACTTTATAATTATTTGTTACTAATACAAAAATCAATTGACTCATAAATAATTTCAATGACTAATCATTAATCTTTATAGAACAGAAAAGTCACTATAATGATGCTAAAACAGTGTCGTATTTTAAAACAAAAAATACGATGAAATAATAAATTATAATAAATCTCAAAAAAAGCTGTAAAATTTAAAAAATAGACCCCGGCCTTTTAAAGATTAATATATAAATGAATTAAAAAGAAATTGATTGATAGGCTATAAAATTTTGAATATTTATTTAATTCTTTACGGTCAAAGACATCTAGGCTGATCGCATAAGTACTTAAATAAGTACTATTTAAATAAAAATTTCTAGAGAGATATTGTAGAATCACTCTTTAAATGTAGAAGGAAACTACTTTGAAGGGGATAGAGGTCAAATTTGAATTAGATAAATATTCAAGTTTGTATAGGTCTAGTTCAGTTTCTTTTTCATTCATGTAGAACTCCTATGCGATAATGAGGCGAGGCGATGGTTCAATGTACGACGTTCTTCGCAAAAAAAGGGAAACGGTGATCACCTTAATTATCATTAACATCATGCGATGTGAGTCTCGCTAGGTTCGCATTGAAAAGTACAAAACTCCTGTTTCCCGGCGATACGAGGCGGCTAACCGTATTGCACAATCGTTCAGGATGATTATCATGACAATGCCATCGCCTGGGAAGATTTCCCGCGGAGGCGTTCGGCCTTTCGTGGACAATACGAGCACGTCTCGTGCCAGGGAAAATCGTCGGCAGCGAGGTAACGTTGGTGTACAGGCAGTTTGTCAGCCGATTGACAAGTCAATGTGTGCGGATGCCATGAAGAGTCTCGCGGGAAGATACCGAGAGGTCGAGGTCTCCTCGAAGACGTTTCGTACAGGGTGAATGAGAAATATACGATTGTACGTGACTCGTTTTCCACGGTTGTCGCTGCACTTTGTTACAATGTTGAAAAAAACCCTGCCTTTCTAAATTATTGCCTTTAGAATTGCATCTTCACACTCTCTTCGGTAGTTTCTTTATCTAATATTTTTTGAATTTCAACAGTAATTATCGCACCGATATGCGTAAAAGATTTTTTATGTAATGTTTGAAAGATATGTTTGTATACTTCTGAGCTTTAATTTTTAATTTCACATGGATTATAATAAAGTCAGTTTCTGCTATTTTTCAATTAAATATTGTTCTTTTAAATTTTAATTAAATCTTATTTCTAAGTTACCATCTAGATTATAAACAAAACGAAATTTTTCCAATACTCGTGAATTTGCTATCACCGACACGTTCCTGCGAAAACATTGTATTTCATAAGATAGCCTAAATTGCAAATAGAGGGATAGGCCATGCGGGTTGTGCGTTTCAAAGTTTCGAAATTGTCAGTCTGATTAACGAGAAAGTTCCGAATCTGTTTATTGAGTTAAAGTACCATAACAAAATATTTTTGGATAAAATATTTATAAAAATTTGTATAAGATAAAATATCATATAAATTAAAATTCTTATTTAGCAAAATTAAAACATTTTTCTTTAAAATAGAGTTTAAATTTTGTGATACTTTACCGCTTGTAGCTGCGTGTATTCGTTGACATTAGTTTCGTATGCCCATTGAGCTATTACATTAGCGCTACATCTTTCTGCGCCTAGAAAATCTAATCTAGCTAGGATGTTCTGGTAATTTATTTCATTGGGTGGTAGTTGTTGGGCAGCATCTTCGTCTCTGTAGGGCGGTAGGTCCAATTGACCGGAAATTGCCGATAATAGACAGAGTAAAAGCACTGTCCATCTTACCTAAATAAAAAAACATTCATTATAATATAGTTTGTACAGATTTCCCACCTTTATTTTAAGGAAATATACATACAAAAACGCTTGTGTGATCTACGCATACTAAAAATGTAACGTGACAGATTTAAATCGTAATTTTATTATTATTATAATTTCCGATTAAGTAGTAAAGGAAGTATTAAATTACGAAGAGATTCAATGCACACAGTATAAAATATCTTCTTCTTCAATGAATCTCTTTGACAAACATTTTAGAGAGAGTATAGTTTTGTGATTATTTGATTTGTCCACTAAAGGGTTGTCTTGAGAGCAGAGGCAACTTTTTGTTTTAGATTTTAATTTACATATGCTGAGAAACGATAATCTAAGTAGTTTCCTGTTATCTTTTTTCAAAAAAATATTTTTTTTCTAAAATAGCATTCATTATTTCAAATAAAATGTTCACAAAATTTAAATCTAATTTTATATTAATTAGTTTTTATTTATTACTTTACTTTAATTTATATGTTGTTCAATACTTGGCGTACTTTATGTATTTCTGATATTTCGGTAAATGGAATAATTCGATAAGATTGGTGTAGGTCGATAAGATTGATGAACTTGGCCGCATGCGTGTGTCAATTTATTTTCGTTTCCATGAGAGTACACTTAAATTTCGCTTATATGTCTCATGTTTGGCCTTTGATCGTTTGAAATATGGATTATTCACTATAATTTATTCGATCACGTTTCTATTTATTTTGATATATGAATTAGAAGATAAACATTTTTTAGCTTTTTAGCTTGATCAAATATATCGATCAAGAAAAAAATGTGTCAAAGGAACAAACGACCTAGACTGGGTAATGTCCTTCAGTAATAAATCACTTAACTTTACGAAATACATTATACTTTCCTTCCAATGTTATTTTTTACGACCATCACCGAACTATAATGCAAAAATAAAATCTTAAATAATTTTTATATTGTGGAATGCACTTTATTTACTTATAAATTATTGATATCAAGAAAAAAAGATAATATTGATAATATTGATAAATCGATGTGATATCAATATAAAAATATTCTAAGATTTTGCATCAAGCAAAATATACAGCAACGTATACGCGTAGTAGAGATAGATTAGAGATTTAAAATAACAGAAAGAATGTAACATTGCGAGTATATCCAAAACAATTTTTTCAGGCGGACAATTTGATGATTAACAATTGATGGTTGTAAGTAATTAATTAGTGCGAGTATACTTCAAAATTATAGGCGGTCAATTTCAAGTAAGGATATCAAAAAAGCTTAACCTAAAGTTAGATTGGATCACCTCTCAACTTATAGCAAAGGGCCTAAATAATTTAAGTCGAATTTGGGGACCAGCTTAAATGCACGATATAAACGTAACCGGCTGTGTTACTTTCATCTCTGGTCTCCCTTAATGGGTTTAGCTTTCTTTCGCACAAAAATAATTATAGTTAATTCATGAAGTGATGGAGCCTTCGCGTAAGTGGGATTACCGTGCCAAAAATTACCGCACGCAGATTATTATTATGGGATATTATCTCTTACAAGTTAATATAGAAATTTCATTGTTTCTCTAAATCACATCATGATATTATGAGCAGAGCATTTACGCGCAATTCATTTGTTGGTCTCACGGTCACGTGTTACGTCTTCGCGTTACGTACTTCCTCCCAGCATGAAAAGTATCTGCTTATGCACAGTAGTAGGTCACCTGTGGTTGATCGAGATGCGATGACCTTGGTTTGGTACAATTGTGCTTATTGAAGAATATCTTTTCTATTTTTTAATGTGCAACTACGTGAGATTTAATATTTTACGCTATTTTGACTAAAGTAATTGCTTCTGCTAAAATAAGCATATTTTAATAATATTCTTTGTAAATCTACAATATAATATTGTAACTATAACAATCAATAATGAGATGTCACGTAGATTTATGGAAAATAATCTAAGCGTACTTGATCGTACAAACGAGGTCATCGTTACATGTAATTGTTATATGATAATATCATGCATTATGATCTAACGAATGGAGATGATTCATAAATGCCAAGATACGTTGCCTCTATTTTTCAACGATTTTTCTTATACAAAACCCGTCATATTAATTTGAAAATTACAAGGTGTTACATAATATATGAAACTATTTGGGAAATAATTTCAATACTGAAACAATAAAAAAATTAATTCATTCGGATACAATATGTAAACAATATCCCCCTTCCTCCTCTTAGATAGATTCCACATATTATTATTCATCGAGATATCGGTAGTGTCTCGGTATTACATCTTGTATAACCAAAATAATCATTTCGAATCTGTATTTGTAATTACTGACAATTATAGCATAAAATTATTTAAATAATATATACAAGTTTGCATTTCAGATAAATCCAAAAGAATTTTAAGCAAATTATTACGATTTCCATCTATAAAGAAATATCGAAATATTGGATAAGAAGAATTATCGAGCTGATTCAATATTAATTATACAAACAGCTATTAGGCAAAAAAAGTTTTTTTTATAAGCAAAAAAATGATTAAAGAATAAATTATTTGTTTTTACATGAACATTAATACCTGAACATCTTGATATATTCAGGATATTACTGTATAAAAAATGTTGACACACACAGTTTTACCACTCTTTCATTTTTAGCACTTCTCGACATTTA